AAACCAATGTCAAAGGTCACAGTTGTGCCCCTGAACGAACAGTTGCAATGTTTAGATTTGGAGGTCATATCCGTTCGTCCAGAGGGTGTGTAGGTCATGTCTGTTCAGGTAAGAGGTGTGTCTGTACGTGCAGTATGTGTGCCTGTTCGTGCAATATGAGTGTCTGTTCGTGTAGAATGTGTGTCTGTCCAAAAGGAAGTCAAAGGACAGGTTTCCAGTTTTGTCTAAGTCTAATATGGGGTCTAGATTCAGACACCTAGTCCGAAATCCAGGCCAGATGGCCGCAGCACCAGCAGACCCTAAGGGGAAAACACTGGGACACACACATATGCATGGGTCTGAGACTGAGGAAGGCCCAAAGCGCCAATACAGGCCAATGCAGACCTCGCCAGGGGAGGCCAACAGTATAAAGCAATAGGCCAGCCTCCCTTGACATCAGATTCCCACTGGCATATTGGCGTGGAAGTGTTGCATGCACTTGTGCGCTGGCTGGTTGGGTTAGCGCTGGAGGAGAAGCTGCGCTGAGAGGAGGAAGAGAGTTGGGCACAGGCTTGCAAGTGGCAGCCATATCTGCGCCAGCTAGTTAGTATAGGTAGTGGGTTAGTAGTTAGCCTACAGTGAGTAGCATTCAAAGTAGATCTTCGTAGTAGGAGTGTGCACGTATGGTGGGACTAGAGAATCAAGACTGAGATCCAAGAGAGAGAAGAAAGATAGAGAGTGCGGTAGGATCTGGCTATGGTGGATACTTACCTGTTGTGCGCTGTACTTGAGTTTTGAAGGTGGCGCTGGCTGAGCCAGGCCCCATTCGTGAGACAGAAGGAAGGAACTCGTGATAATGTTGGGTGCTGAATTTTGGATCTCGATATACTCTTGTATAATGTGTTAATGATTAATTGAGCTGCGTATCTTGGTTCTATCCCATCTCATTTGGACTGTGTTAGCTTCATCTTGTGTGAGTCATTGTCCATGCATGCGTTGTGATACACTCCAGCAAGAGGAGGACAGTCAAGTCCCTTGCAGAATGATAGAGCAAGCTAACAAGCATCGTCGGCCATCACAGTTCCCAGGTAGGTGATTTAGTCTGGGTCAAGTCGAAGGAGTTCGCCCCGAAAGAAAACATCTCACAAAAGTTGTTACCCACATATAGGGGACCATGGATTGTCCTAGAAGTGAAAGGTGGAGAGGATGGACCTTCCTACATTGTAGAAATTCGACCACACCTCCACACATACCCTGTCTTCCATGCGTCTAAGTTGCTACCTTGTGTCACCAGTCAGCAATTTCCATCACGTCGATTGATGATTCCGCCGGATATGGATGACACATACGATGTAGATCGCATTGTGGAAGAGGATGTGTTTAGGACCGGAGGAAGAGGTCGTCCACAGAAGCAGTATAAGGTCAGGTTCATTTATCAGGAACCAGAGGACGACCGATGGTTCACAAGAACCGAGCTTCTAGAAACCGCTCCTGACATAGTCCATGCCTATGACAGGGCGAAAAAGAGTAAACGTCCTGGCTTGCAAGGAGATATTCTCGGAGGACATCGAATTTAGGCCGGCGGGAGTAAAACGGTTTTCACCTAAACCAGTGACAGATGCAGCACCCAGGGCTCGATCCCTAGACCTACCCTCTTACCCATGTACAGTACCCGTTGACCCATGTGTTTGAACCGACGATCGATTTCCTGGAAGTCGTATGTTCGGCTGTTGTATATAGTGCGGTCGCAAGGGTTTGACCCGTGGACCTTTGTTTTAGTTGTTGTAGGGTCAGCATAGGTCGTAGCTGCTGTAGTTTCGAACTTCTAGGCTAGTCTCATTGGCTCTTCATAGGTCTTAGGAGTCAGTCCACAACTGAATCAGCGAGGGGCAGTCTTAGCACAGTCAGCAAAGGGCAGTCCCAGTCCTATCTAGTCCAGTCAGCGGTACCCAGTCCCAGGTTGCACTTTGTCTAGTCAGCAAGTATCGTGTAGGACTGTGTACATCCCGGGCCCAGGGTCCAAGGGCAGACCAACGACGATCCGAAGTAAAAATAAAGAAGCAGCGTCAAGTCATGGATTCATTCTGCCTGTGAGCCATTGCGAAGCACTGTCGGAGCGTCTTGTGCTACGGAGGTCTGCAGGTGTCCGAGGAAGAAGAGGGCTAAGAGGAGGAAGACACAACCGTAGCTGCAAGCTAGCACAGGAGGGAGACGGCAGCCATAGCTGCCACGTAGGATAGTGTAGGAGGGAGTACGTGTGCTCAGTGTGTGTGTGTGTGTGTGTGGGACATTTAGGGTGATCCTAGTGTACGTGTTACATGCTGTGCCTGCACACGTAGGACATTTTCCAGGCCTGCGTCCTTCAGGCCGAAAGCCTGAAATCCAGGGCTTACAGGCCCCATGTCGGTTCAGCCCGAAAGCCTGAATTCCAGGGCCTATCTCTGTGTCGTTTTAGACTAAAAATGGCAATAGCCTTTTTAGCCTGAAACGAAGGGCCATTTTCGGTCGTTCATTAGAACGAACGACCCTGAAACTCAGGCACCGAACCAGGGTTTCGGAACAGGCTATTATTAGCCTGTTCCTCACGCCAGCCTCAGCACGCTGCTGCACGCCAGCCCCTGGCACACTTCGGCATTGGCAAGAGTTGCCTCCTCGGCCTGACTCGCCCTCCAGCAGTCAGGAGGCAGGCCGAGGTAGTACATAGGACTTCCCAGACACTTCGCAGGTAGGCAGAGAGGCAGTTGTAGTCTTCAGGATTCGGGAGCAGCACTATGGAGGGAGCGCTGCAGAATAGTAGTAGTAGCATTAGCTTGTAGTCTTCAGCGCTGGGCGCAGTAGGTAGCTGTAGTCTTCAGCGCTGGGCGCCATAGCTAGGTAGTACTAGAGAGAGAGAGAGAGAGAGATTGGGCGGAGGCCAGAGGCACTTACCTGCAGCGCCGTTGCTCCAGCTTCGTCTTCGAGGTACCTGCAGCACAGCGCCAATACCACAGGTCAGTACCTGGCTCGTAACAGTGAGAGAGAGTTCTCCTTCTTCCTCTTCTMGGTCCACCATCTCCTTCTCCCCCTCTCAACATCYGACTTCACTGCATCTGCAGACTACGAGAGAAGAGAGACAGAGCTTGGTGACATCGGATCCAGACTCGACTTTTGGGACTTCAGACATGGCAAYGAGGGATTATTTGGGATTGGTGACAAAGACTTGGTGTTGACRACATTCCCATCTMTCTCSCTCCTTTCGTCTGATTCCTTCCTCTTCGTCTGTGTATGTCTGGACCTGGCGYTTTCTTCCTGTGTACAGCGCCAGGCTCCTTCACACCTGGTGAGGGATACGATGTATGTTTGGTCTGAGTTCAAACATTGATTGGGCTAGTTATTAGCATTCTAGCATTCTGCTTCGCTAGTTTGTACTACGTGAATGAGGTCAGTCCCGGTCAGGTCAGTCTTTGTATTTAAGTCTTCCCTGCGCTATTCAGCACCTTTTGTATGTATGAGAATGCACATTGCTTGTTGAGATTCTACTCGCACCGCATTGTCCATTCAGTCCTTTTCATCACATTGCAGATCCTCGGTTATTACGTACATTGCATATCTGTGCATGTAACAGTTGGTATCGGAGCATCGCAAGTGAATCAGGACAACCTGATCTGACACGTGTGAGGGGACTAAATAGCTAGTTAGTCTTTATTGATTGATTAGAGCATACTAGTTAGACCTCAAAATCACGATTTTGACCTTACTACCGAAAATCGAAATTTTTTCTTTTCTTGGGTTTTGTTTTCTCGCTATTCTGTGGTGGAAAATCGCAATATCACAACATTTGAAATTCCCATTTTCGTTTTTCTTCTGAAAAATCCGAAATTTCGTTGTTGAAAATCCGGAATATTTTTCTTTTTGAAAATTTTGATTTCCTGTTGCATTTCCCGTTACTTAGAAATTCGGAATATCTTCTTTTCCGAAATTTCGTTTTTCTGAAAACGGTACGGGAAATCCCGCCTACGGTATTATTTTCCAAACTGCGAATATTCTTATCTGAATAAATCCGAATACTTGTCATTTCTGTTCGGAATTTTTTCGCAGTTCTAGGATTCTGTCAGTTTGTTCTATAAATCATTTGCAGTCTGAAGTCGAATTTTTTTTTTTTTTTTTTTCTCTTTCAGTGATCATTTCGCACTTCAAGGGAGGTTGGGAGACCTACCGAACTTGCAAAAATCGTGATTTTTATTTTTCTTGAATTTTTTTTTGCAAAGTTCAAACTTTTCTTTTTTGATTAGTGGCTCCTTATCTGAGTGATTAGTTGGGCGATTATCCCACCCACCCCTCCCCACCTATGTTGTTTCCATCTCTCGCCTTACCTTCTGTTCTTGTCTTCGGGTACCCCCTGCGGCGACATTGGTGAGTTGCCACGTCAGCAGGTCACGTCAGCAGATCACATCAGCAGGCCACGTCAGCAGACTACTTCAGTACGTCAGCAGGCCACGTCAGCAGGCTACATCAACAGGCCACGTCAGCAGGACACGTCAGCAGTACCACGTCAGCAGCAAGGGATACCTCATCAGCAGGCCCCGACCTGGTCTATGCTATTGCGGTCTCATACAACAGTCATGGACCAGAGGCCCGGAGAAGCAGACGAGGCCTATCAGGCCTGCATGCTGGCCTGGAGTACCGAGACAAAGAAACGGGCAGATAACACCGCCGCAACAACAAAGAAGAAGGCAGAGGATGCCGAGCAGGCACGTCTGCTGGCAATTAAACAACAGCGCCAGCATGACGAGGCAGCAGCAAGGGCTGCCGATGAAGAAAGACACCAACGTCGTGAGAAGATATTTACCGGAGAGCAGGCGTTACTTACAATGGTAGCGGAATGACGGACCGAGGCCGAGAATAGCAAGCTGGAGGATAGCGCAAACAAGATAGCGCTCCTCCTCTCGCATCTCACAGACCTCCTGGCAACTTGCATTACACAGCAGGAGGAAATCCACGGTCTTGACAACTCGCTAGCTCACGTTCAAGACCGCCTTCAGCGGTTGGAGCAGCGACCAGTCGCCGCCACCGATGCAAGCTCTTCCAACACCTCCGACCGCCTCAACGCATTGGAGATGGACGTCGGCTCACTCAAGGATCGCGTGCAATTACAGCAGACCGCGACGCAACAGTTGCAACAACGGATCTGCACTACCGCCAACACCTCGAGTTCGGAACCGCGCGAGACAGCTCCAAAGTTCGATGGGCAGGAGATCTTCTGCGACTCAATGAAGACAGATCCGGTTCCATGGTTTCGCAAGTTCGAGCTCACGCTGCAACTCCACAACGTCAAGGAACACAAGCACCACGCATACTTGTACTCTCGCTCAGGGGGCGCGTGCCAGGCTTGGTTGGACAACCTGTTGTCCAAGTACGGAGTGGTAGCCAACGACTTGCACACCAAGATCAGTTGCGATGATCAGAAGGCGGCTTGGCACAAGCGGTTCCAGGTGGAGCCGCCGGAGATCAAAGCCATGGACAAGCTCATGGTCTTCGAGCAAGGCGCGCTGCCGAGTACGGACTGGATTGCCGAGTACCAACGCTTGACGTCAGTCCCAGACATCCAGATGGGCTTCAAGGCTATCCGCCATTACTTCATCTCAAGGTCATGTCCGGCATTAAGCAATGACCTGACTCATGTCGAGGACACCTTGACGTCGACGGCGGAATTGTTTGACAAGGCCGCACAGATCATCATCACGAACAAGGAGGCCAAGAACCTCCGTTCATCTGCGTCAGGCCCGAGCAGGGACCAGCATCGGCCAAGAGTGGCCGTGGTCGCAGCGACAACGCCGTTTGACCAAACCAGCGAGGCTATGTCTGCCAGTGAAGGGGACAGACTCGCAGCCGCCTGGGAAGGTGGCCGCCCCGGCARAGGCCGAGGACGTGGCAGGACGAAGACACACACCGCATCTAGCCCCGGGCCCGGTGCAGCAGCTCAGGCAGGCCCATGGTCCCAATATGGCATCTCCGAGCAAGCATTCAAAGCACGCGAGAGATTCCATTATTGCCTTTGGTGCAACAACGATCTYCATCAGACGCAGGTCTGCCCATTGAAAGGCAAGGGCAAACAGGGAAACTGAGCACCGCCGAGAGTGATTCGACAACACTCTCGACGCCTCCGGAACCGGTTTCTTCGCGAGTAACCGGCCTTCATTCCAAGGCGCACGTGGAAGTCGATAGCCCTCCTTTTCTACTTTCTTTTGAGGACTATGCTTCCCGGCTCGTTCCTACGCTGGGTACTCAAGCTCAACGACAAGGAGTGTGTGCGGTTTCTTCTCCGTCCGGCAACGGCGACATATCGTCTTCAAGTGGTTCTTCACGGGATTCGGCGCGCGAGTTCAACATAGAGGCATTGGACTCGCTCACGTCCGAGGACTTTGCATGGCTTCCTCTCCCGACCACAGGCCGCTTGCCGGGACTGCAATGCGCAGCACTTAGCGCGAATCTCCACACTTACTTGTCGTTCTATGCACCACCAACTTCGCCAACGGATGACGAAGTCGCAGTGGGGGACATCCTGGCGTATACTACCAAGGTGGCCCGCGAGTTTCGCACTCAGCGGTACGATGACAACAACGCACCGCTCATGTATGTCCGCATTCAGGTTGGGCAAGCGTCCTGCAGCGCTTTGCTGGATAGCGGCGCGTCTCGCAATTTCATGAGCCAGTCCTTTATGCAAAAGGCTGGCTTGGCGCACAAGTTTGGAGGAAGGCAAACCCGACGACGATCAAGTTGGCGGATGGAAAGACGCAACAACTTCTCGACCGTTACATCGAGGCCGTACCGGTCTACTTCGCACCTCATGCATGCGAACCGGTGACATTCGATATTCTCGACACGGACTTCGACATCATTCTGGGAATGTCTTGGCTTGCAAGTGCGGATCACACGGTCAACTTCCATCGGCGGACTCTTAGCGTTCGCGACGCCTTCGGCGCGGAAGTGGCGTGTACTATTCCTCTACCGCACCCTTCGATCCGGTGCCAAGTGGTGACGGCCAAATCATTCCGGGCGACTTGCGCTTATGAGAAGCCCGAGGAGATCGGCCTATGTTTCCTACGGACCGTCGCGGTAGCCGACTCTTCACCCACGGACTTGTCTTCGTACCCCCGTGTGGTGCGGTTGCTGGACGAGTTCGCCGACATCTTCGAGTCACCTACCGGTGTGGTGCCGGATCGGCCGATCTCTCACGAGATCATTCTTAAGGCCGGTGTCATGCCGCCGAAAGGTTGCATCTATCGGATGAGCGAGGAGGAGCTTGAGGTCCTCCGCGCACAACTCGACGATTTGTTGGCCAAGAGCTGGATTCGCCCGAGTAGCTCGCCATATGGAGCACCAGTTCTCTTCGTCAGGAAGAAGAACAAGGATCTACGATTGTGTATCGACTACCGCAAGCTCAACGTGCAAACCATCAAGAATGCGGGGCCTCTTCCTCGCATCGACGATCTTCTTGAGCGATTGGGCGACGCAAAGTACTTTTCTAAGTTGGATTTGAAATCGGGATAATCATCAAATCTCGATCCGGCCGAATGATCGCTACAAGACCGCGTTCAAGACGAGGTACGGGCATTTTGAGTGGGTGGTCATGCCTTTTGGCCTCACCAACGCCCCGACGACCTTTCAAGCGGCAATGACCAATGAGTTCCGTACAATGTTGGACCGGTTCGTGTTGGTCTACTTAGACGATATTCTCGTCTATAGCCGGACATTGGAGGATCATCTTGGACATCTTCGACGAGTGTTGGAGACACTCCGCTGCGCCAAGTACAAGGCCAACTGCGACAAGTGTGAATTTGTCCGGCAAGAGCTGGAATACTTGGGCCATTTTGTCACACCCGAGGGCATCAGTCTGCTATCGGACAAGATTCAGGCCATCCGAGAGTGGCTGGAGCCTCGGAACGTCACAGATGTCCGCTCGTTCCTCGGTCTTGCCGGCTACTATCAGCGCTTCTTCAAAGGCTACTCGAAGATCGCGGCCCACTTGAACAAGCTTCAATTCGAGGATAGGCCGTTTGACTTCAGAGAGGAGGCGCGGGGATCATTCTTCGCTCGCAAAGCCGCGCTATTGTCTGCGGAGGTCTTGCGGAGATACGACCCGCTCTTGCCTACACGCGTCACTACGGATGCGTCAGGCTATGACATTGGTGCAGTCCTCGAG